TTGTTTTGTTTGTTTGAGCTACGCCATTTTCCTCGGGTGTCCACTTTAGTAGGGGCGTCAGTTTGATGGTCCTCGATTTGCTTTGGAGTGCCCACAAGCGGTTCTTTCTCATCCACATCAGTACCACCCAATCCGAAGAAATCTACACCTATAGTGGTCTTCCCTCCCTCCCAAAAGTAACAAAGAGTAACGGCAGAAATTCGACCATGCCGTCCACCTGCCATGAGGACCCAATGGAAAACAAGGCCCTCAGGGCCCCAAGGGTGATCAAGGTCATCCGCCCGCGCGAGACTGACCGGTCGCGTTGCTCGCGACCTGGTCAAGAGTCGGGAGAATATCCCTTTCACCGTCGGTGTCACAGGGCGCACGATGGGTGAGCCAGGAAAACGATGGGGGGGGAACTCTTAAAGCCTAAAGAGCTCCTAAAGAGGATCGATCTTAAGCCCCTGCTGTCTCCATTGTCTTCGCCCCTGCACACGACTCTTTGGTCTCCACACTCATCATGACACCTCTGAACAACCATTTTGCAACCTGACGATGCTTGGAATGCTTGGATCCGGAAGGCTTCCAACTCATGCCCAACGTCGCTTCCGTGTTCCAATGGTGCTTGCTTCGTACGGCCGAACCGTGCTTCGGCCGCCGGAGGGCGCTCGTGGAGGGCGGAGGGCGGGGCGCTCGTGGAGCCCAGGAGCCCAGGGTGAGAAAGGCCCCGTGGGTGAACTTGGTCCAATCCAAGACATGTGCCTTGGACCTCGACGACTCAGACGGGAAGCGACTGCAGAACCAGGAAACAGGACGGACGAACTCGAAAACAGGACCCCAAACGTGGCCAAAACAGTGCAGTGGCCGGCTCAGGGTGGGCTCTTTCCTCCCTTCAAAGAAGAAGGAGAACTCTGTTCATGGTTTTTCATCAAACCTGGGACAGTGTTTTGCATGTTTTGGCCTCCAAGCGCCCGAACGAGGGATGGTCAAAATGAAGGGTCAGAAGACGTGACCTGACCAGTTAGAAAACCCCTGGTTTTGGACGAAGGCGGAGAGGGCCGAGAGGCAGAAGAGGGTGGGGTGTTTGGAGTGAGGGACTCACTACGTGAAGGAACTTGAGGAACTCGAGGAACGTTGAACAAGGGGGTCTTAGGAATGGCCGATTTCGGCGTGTCGCAGGATGGTACAGTTGGAACTTGATGACATTTGCAGACCGATTGACCATCTCAGGGGTTGACGAACTGAACGCTGTCTTCAGTGATCTCGGGCACACGCTTGGCCCACACTAGTCGAATGTAAAGTATTTGGTGGACAGAAGTTTAAGATGCCCAATACATGTTATATTATAAGACAATTACTCTGGCGTTTCGTATCGTTTCATTTTCACTATTTTGGACTTTTGAGATCAGCTTTCGGTCAGCTACATCGCCCGACTTTTTTCGACACCTCCACAGCTACGTCGCCTCAATCGGTCATCTCCGGTCGCTCGGTCGCCCGTTTGCATGATCCTGACTGAGGAAACCTCCACCCGAGGGACTCGCATCTGCCAGCGCAGTGGCTGAGAAACGTTTCAGGGAAAAAACAAACACATCCAAACGGGGGTCCAAACGTTTTGGAGCAGGACGGTGTCCAGAGGTGCTCTTCTCAGTGTTTTTTGAGTCGCGAGACTATATAGCTTCCGGCATGGGCATGGGCATGCTTGCTGGCTTGAGGCAGGTCGGAAATACCCTGAAGGGTGAGGTCGTAACTTATTATAGAAATTTCATCTGCCTCGGCGGCAGAGGAAACTACTCATGCACCGACCAGAAGTTCCGTTCACAAGTGTCAACGTTCAGGATTTGTATTAGTTTTTGGGACGAGAACAGGACTTTTGACATCATTTGGTTTGGGGTCCAGGAGCCATCTGAAGCTGCCACAGCTTAGCATTCTTTGTTTCAGAGCACTTTGCTCGGAAGAGACTTGAGAGAAGTAGCGGGTCATGTCACGCGTCAACTATCCCTGCGGGCCACACCAGGGAGCAGCGAGATTGAAGCATATATACATAGGGACCATAGGGGATGTTCACACAATCAGGAGACCTGCTAATTGATCTCCAGCCAGAAGCTGTGGTATTCAACTGGGCTTGCAAGCCTTTGTTTGGAGTGGTTTTGGTCACCGGGGTATTGAAACGAAACCACTGAGTACCCGATCTGGCACCCACACCCATCGGGAAAGCAAGCTGGTCGACAGCCGGGTGAACCTGTGTACACCGGCTCAGATGGGCTCCAGATGGGCTCAGATGGGCCAGTGTCATAGCGGCAGGCTATGATGCTCCTAGGTTTTGATAGGGACCACACAACATCCTGTATGTACAGGATTCCTCTCTCTGAGCCAGTACTTGCAGGTTGCAAGACCAGACTTTGCCAAGCTCCGCCATTTGTTTGTTGACTCAACTGTATAGCTGAAGAACCTCATGTGTTTGGACTAGTGACTATAAGGGTTGGAGGCCAATTCTCCAACAGTCTCACTTCGTTCGATCCGCGCAGTTGATGAACCAGCCACGCAACACCTCTAGGTGCCGTTGGAGCTCTCATTTTCTTCAACTTGGTCTCTGCCGGCATCGTTTATGCAGTGGCTTCAGGACCCATCTGTCCGGCCAACGAAACGGTGATGCAGAACCGTCGTCTGTTCTTCGGCGGGTTGCCGGTGGGGTGCTTTCAGGATCCCCAAGTTGTGTGGCCGTAGGCAGCAGTAGAGCCTAGGAGGATAAGAGTCCGGGACACATAGAGAGTACTGAGTAATTGATATAGTGCATGAACCATGGACCTGCACAAGCGTTTCTGCACATGCAGCTGCAGTACAACAGCTCGAGAAGGTGTGCGACGGTCGGCGCGGCGCTGTATGCCGCACAAACAGGACAGATGGAGAAGAAAGGCGGCGGAGAGGGGAAGAGTATGGAAGAAGCACCTGAAGAGGTTCGCCTGGCGTTTCCGTTGAGCATGAACTCCAAACCGCTTTCTTGGTGTCTTGGGGGGCTCCGAAGTGATCCATGATCACTAACAGAGAAGTGAGTCATGTTATTGTCATGTTCATCATGTTCATCATGTTCAGATGGATGGATGATGGGATAAGACAATGGTCGGATATTCCAAGAAGCTTTTTTCCGTGGTACCTCGTGGTACCTCGACTTCGGGACGACGTCTGGACGACTCCCTTCCGCGTTTTCTCTTGGACCGAATCCCACGTTTTCTCACGGATGTTCACTCTGAGGGTGAAGAGGGTGCGTTTGAGGAAGGCAATCCAGAGGAGGCCTTACCTGAGGAGGGCGCAGAAGAAGCAGAAGGAGAGGAGGCTCAAGGATGAAGGATGAGAGGCCCAGCTGCTTGCAAGATACACATCTTGTCATGCGTGTTTCGGACCATGTTCACGTACCTTGTGGCCATGATGTGCCATGTACCTGGCTGTTTTTCATGATGTGAAGAAGCTAAGACTGGTCTGGGGTTTGAAAACCCAGCAATAGATACCGGGTGTATCCAGGTGTGAAGATGGTTGTGGCCAACTTGTCGAAGACGGTTAGTGGTGAGATATGGAGAGGTGCATTTTCTCAGCTGAAGAGGCTTTACTGGGTGTGGTTGGGAATGACATCTGCAGATGGGTCATGGCACCCAGAGCCGCAGGGCAAGCCCAGGGAGGTGGATCTGCTGGCAGCAGACCCGCGACCCGCCAGATGCCCTATCATCCTGCTACACTCCTGATTCCTCATCCTGGGTGACCTCCACCACCCGGGGGGATTCCAATCCCTACCCTCCGACTCACATGCTAAGTGGAACATGGACCCGCTGCAACCGTTCCGGTCTGTTCGACCTGGGTGAGGCCGTCCCGGTGCCGGGACCGACGCTGTGTGGCGTTGAAACGGCGGCGTTGGGTGTGTCTCACAACGCGGTGCCCAAGCCGGAAGATGGGATGGAAGCCGGAGGGCATCCCATTGTCCAAACTGTTTGTGGGAGAGTACATGAGAGTACCATAATTAGGAAGTCAGTACTCATGACATCGTTGATATCATTTCTCCATTCTACCCGAAGATGCAGAGATTCTTTTTGACATCTCAGAGTTGTATGGTGTCAACCGTCCAACCCTCGGTCCGGTGAAGCACCCTGTTTCAACGGGTGGGGCCCACCGCCCCACCCCAATTCCGCCCGCGGTCGCAACGAAACAACGGCTTGAACGATGCGTAGGATCTGAACGACAAAAAGAAGCGGTCGAATGTGAGCTGTTGGAAGTGGAACATGGATGAACATGGACCGAACAGGATGACTATTGGTCTTTAGTACGAACAGGGTGGTTTCCACTTGCATGTTTTTCATGTGTCGGAGTATTTTTTGGTGGCATGTTCTCCTTGCAGCTGGAAAGCACTGAGAGTCACTACTCTGCTGAGCACTCAAAGCCTGTGAAGCGTGTCAGCCAAATGTCTTGCCCGTCTTTTCCTTGTTGTGGTTTCCGGCCATCCATGAACGCTTGCTGCGTTAGATCCTTCCCCGGTCTGGCCAAACTGTGCGTTTTGCCAACATTGGGAGCTGCTGATCGATTTGCAGCCCGATGGGCTTGAAGTCATGGGCTGTTCCACAAGAGGACACAATGCAGTTTGGATGGTCGTCTGACATGCAGTCTGACCTGAGTCTCTACGAACAAATGACGCTGATATATTGGGACTTTTAGGGACATTGCCCAACAGCAACTCTGATACTCGTACCTTTTGCTTCGCAAAAAAAGGATAAATCGAGCACAGCAACACCTCTTTTAGGGACAAGACATCTTTATCACACGTAGTTGCAGTTGAACACCTCAAGTGACTCAAGTCGAAAAAGATGGAGCTACATTTCAGTCAGGAGGTTCAAGTTGACCTTTGAAACAGTTGTGACAGCTGCAGTAGTTGCAGAACTTGAGCTTTAGTACTTTTGGTCCAGCTTTTTGCCGTTGAAGACATGAACCACTTCAGGTGTGTGGAACACTTTCAACAGCCACCTTGCCACTTTGAAGCCATGGGCTTGTTGAAACATCTGGGACACAACTTACAGCCTCGCACGTGGGCGTTCGCACGAGCTGGAGCACGCTCCAAAGGTTCCTTTGCCGGGCTTTTGCATGAAGGAAGGCTGGTGGCTTCTCCCGACTTTCAGAAATCGGGCACCGAACTGCCTGTGCTGCGCTTAGTGGGTGAAGATGGGTGTTTGGTGAGCGGGGCTGAGCTGCCCTGTAGCCTGGAAGCATATCTGGATATGTACAAGTGCATGTTGAAGGCTCGGGGGGGAGGGGGGTTGGATATGCCGGCAGGTCTGGGATCGAGCAATATAGCTTGGCTGTTTTCAAGAAGATCTTCAAAGGCATGCACACCAACCGCATCAACCATGTTCTTTCTGCAATAGACAATGTTCTGGGCGACCGCACACATTGGGGGATCTCGGAGACCCCCCCCCCCCCGCCCTTCCGGTGCCGTTCAGTTGTGCGACGAGTGCGACGAGTGCAGACACGGCCCATGGGACTGCCGGGACGGACTGCCTTCAAAACGGCCAGGGGTGGTTGACTGAGGGTCTGTCTGGGGCGGCAGTCCGCAGTTTGACGGGTCGTGTCTGGGTATGGTTTTATGTGTTTTTTCGCCACCTTCTAGGTGGCGGTGGTGGACAATGTGCTGAACTCCTTACAGCGGCAGGGCCGTATCTCCTTCTACATGACAGGGACAGGAGAGGAAGCCGCCCAGGTGGGCACCGCGGCACAGTTTGGTCGAAGAGATGTGGTTTGGGCACAATACCGAGAGTTGCTTGGGAGGTGAGTGAAAAGCAGTGCTCTTCATGTTTTGTTTGAGATCCGACCACAAGTTGGGAGATGAACAAGAAGAACACAACTGAGCTTGGCTCCAAACTCAGGGTGTTTGTTTTTTCCCTGGCAAACACATGCATTTTTGTTATCATGTTGTTGCTTTTGTTACGTATTTGTTTAAGTGTTTTTGTTTGTTTCGTGGATGCCATGTCCAGAAGACAACCCCGGACCTCATAAGTCACCGGCAAGGGTGGCTTGGGTGGCATAAAACACTTGTACTGGCAAAAGAAACGGGGACAAAACATCGGTTCTTTTGGCAGGTTCCTTGGCCCAGGCAATACATACAGCTCATGAAAACCCCCAACGACGAGGTCCAACAACTCGTCAGGCACCGGAGGCGTTGTTTTGATTTGTTTTGTGAATGTTCGTTTTTCTTGCCAGCTTCGGTGCACACCGCGGTGGGACCCGAGGCTGGGTGCCTTTTTGCATCGGGGCTTTACCATCCAACAGGTGGTCGACCAGTGCCTGTCGCGCTGCGACGAGCCGGGCAAGGGGCGGCAAATGCCGGTGCACTACTGCGATGCGGACATTGGGATGCAAGCCATCAGTTCACCTCTAGGAACGATTGGTTTGTGATATGTGAGACCCAGACGCTCCGACGGGTTCCCTCAAAAGCGGACACCGGAGCGTCTGGGTCTGTGAGTTTGTTTGTTGAATTAAGGGCACAATTTGGAAAGCCTTGGTCTATAGCTTTTGGTGGACCAAGCCACGGAAGGGCAGAATGGTGACCGTTCCCGTCTCACGAGAAAGCGAAACAAAGTAAGAACTCGACATGCACTTCCAAGCTACAGAAATGCTTGATGTTTGCCTTTTGGTCCTTTTGGTCCAATTCCTTGATCCACCCTCTGGCCTGTACGGATTCCGCTCTCTCTCTCTCTGTTCTTCTCTGTTCTTCTCTGTCTTTCTTTGGACGAAGCTCTCCCGCCGTTCGCGGCGGGGAGGCACTCAGATCCCTCAAGCCGTCGGCGCGGGCTACGCCTTCCGCGTGGCCTCCGAGCCGCGCGTGGCGGTGACGTTCTTCGGCGAGGGCGCCGCGTCGGAGGGCGACTGCGCGGTGGCGCTGAACTTCGCGGCGACGCTCAAAGCCCAGCGGCCTGGCGAAGCGAAAGCGACCGCTCCGCGGTGAAGGGAGGGGTTGTTGGGGTGCTGCTTTGTTGGAGTGGGTGGCAGAAGGAGGGTGAGGTGTAATTCGAGGGCTTAAGAAGATTTGGGGAGTTGTGGTCTCTTTTCATGTATCTTTTTGTTTTGTTCTTTTTTGTTTGTGAAGACGCTCAATCAATCAGTCCAGACGGTCCAAGACAGTCGGACCATCGTCGCGTCCTTCAAGGTCTGGTGGACTGGTTCGGGCTCACCAGGGTTCTCGGTCGAACGAACGAACCCATCCTCATTGTCTTGTGGTCAGGACGCTCTTCATTTGCCGAAACAATGGTTGGGCCATCTCCACACCCGCCTCCGAACAGTATGCGGGCGACGGCATTGCAGCACGGGGCATTGCCTTTGGGGTCCCGAGCATCCGGGTGGATGGCAACGACTTGGCAGCAGTAGTCCTGGCCACCTCAGAGGTGCCCCAGAAGCGGTAAGAACCAGGTCTCGCATGGTGTCGGCATGGTTTGGGTTCGTCTCATCCAAGGGGCTCCCCAATGTATATATATATACATATATTGGGCTCCCCAGTATACCATGAAGAACATTTTGTTGCTTATAAACATGTTCAGCACTTGCCCATACTATTTTGTTTGTTTGTGAAAAGCTTCAACTTAATTATACTGTAGTCAGTCGTAATTCGTAATGTCTTAATCTCCAACCTCTGGAAGAGACTCAACACTGCTTAGTTCTGCGTGCACATTGCTTTCACCTGCTGTTGAACCAGTTCCGCTTGATTCAACACTGCATCAACTTGATGCAACTCCACTCGAGGCCCGGAAGCTCTGTTTAGATGGTCAACCCGTGCTGATGGAGTTGATGACTTACCGGCGTGGGCATCACAGCACCTCCGATGACGCAGGCAGATATCGTGACTCGGGGCAAGTGAAGAAGATGGCACGGCAGGGTTTGGAGCCCATCAGTCGTGCCAAGCTCCTGTTGAAAGGAGCTGGCACCTGGGATGACCAGAAAGATGAGGCGCGAACGTGTGGGTGTTCAAAAAGGGGGGCGCCTTTGGGGTTTCTTCATATTTGCTTTTGGTGGAAGTTTAAAATACGTGTTTTTGTTTTGGTTATTAGGTCAGTATATACCAATGATGGTTGGTTGTGGTGGCAAAGTTATTGTCTTGCTTTGCTTGTTATTGTCGTCGCATGTATAAATGTATCGCAGGCTTTCGCACTAGTCACTAGTTCTTCTCTTGGTTTGATTCCTGCAGGAGCTGCGAGAAGAATACCGATCTGAAGTCATGGCCGCTTTGCGGACCGCCGAAGCGAAGCCTTTTGCGCCGGTGAGGGATTTGTTTGAAGACGTTTGGGCCAAACCAACACCTGAATTGCAAAGACAACGCCAGGAGTTGATCGATCACATAGAAAGGCACCCAGAACACTTTGCAGAGAAACTGACCAAGTACCAAGACGGCAAGGCTGGCCTCTAAGAGAAGCTCTAAGAGAAGCTCTAAGAGCAGCAAAAGCGCCGAAAGAACAGGGTGGCCCAATTCTATCCACCGTTTTGGTACGACCACTTCCAAAAGACCAAAACACCGGATAGCTTTCCCTCATTCCTGTTAGTTCATCACAAAGTTGGGCGGCCCTGTGGCGACGTTTGCATTTACAGGGGTTCCAACAATTGCTTCATGCAGAGACCAGATTGGATGACGGGCACTTTCAGATAGCACACCGATGGAAGCCCTTGGTTCTTAGCTCCATTTTTGCGAAGCACCTGGCAGCTGATTTGAAGCTGCTCTCCTGGCTCCACAAGCCATGCGTGCTGTGCCATCAGTTGGCTGGAAAAGCTAGGAGTCGTTGGCGCATGGACTGCTGTCACCCCGCCGCACCCACCGTTCTGTTGCACGTTGGTGGCCCTGGTGTGCACGTTGGTGGCCCCATCTGTTGGCCTTTGCTCGCGACCGCGACCGCTTCATGCTCGCAAGCACCAGTAAAGCAGAGGCGAGTTTCGTTTCCGCAAATCCGAGTTCCAAGGAGCAGAAGATGACAGTGTATCAGAGAAGAATGGAATTTCGACATCTCATCCATCGCTCGCAATTCGAAAGTCAACCTGACAGAAGCAAAAGTACAGTTAGTTCCGTTCACCTCAGGCAGATGATTGAGGTTTGTTGGTTCCAGCTCCAGCTCCTGCGACATTCTCGCGACATTCTCATGTTCTCGAAAACAAAAAGCACAAAGACCCCAAACTCAGGCCAATTGGGAAACCAAAAGAGAATAAGTTCTCGAAAACAAAAAGCACAAAGATCCCAAACTCAGGCCAATTGGGAAACCAAAAGAGAATAAGAAGGTCAGATCGATTCTGCCAGCATGCACATCTTCCCGTGGCGCTGGCGCTGGATCCTGATGTGGCTGGCGGGTGCCGTGTGCGAGGGCTCGTTGCTGCACGTCCCAGCGCGAGCTGGAAATGCTTCCGAGGACTGGACGTGCCTGGGAATCCACCCGGTCCCAAGCAGAAAGAGTCCTGGTTGTTCCGGCACCAGCTTCAGATCCTTTATCATAGGAAATGGCTGGAACATGGGAAACATCCATTTCTGTCATGTTCTTTCTGGTTGGGACTGGGTGCAATGCAGGTGGATTCTTTTAAAAGAGGGAGATCGCTCCTGGGTGGTTTAACATGGGTCTATTCTCCTTCTTCCAGGCAGCCTATTTTAATACACACCCAAAGTAGGACAGGACAAGTGTTGGGGGATTCTTCTTTGCACCCTTCAGTGGCCCGATTTTCAGTCGAGTGTCTGACAAGTCCAGACAAGTCCAGGAACGCACTCCTCGAAACTCCCCCCTCCAAACCCCCAAAAACGAGCTTTCTGATTTTCTGGAAGAAGGGTGGAGGCACTGAGAGGATGGAGGGATCCTTCTGGATGGGAGAAAAAGCATATGCGGATCCTTTTTGGGGCAGCGACCTCCTGGTCGGGTTGGGCTCCGCACCAATTCGGATGAATGCAGATGATTTTATTGGACTTCTCAGCTAACTTGCAGGTTGCAGATCTGCTTGATCGCGGAGGTGGGTGTTTTTGAGCCATTCTGTGTTGTCGAAGAGACGCTATTGAGAGATTTGAGTGAAAAAGAACAAGGCAACATGATGCGGAAGATTTGTTCACTACACTTGACTTGACGCCTTCAACTCCAGCACGACCCTTTCTGGAACACACGCTGCAACACCTAGCTCAGACACCTAGCTCAGACACCCTGAAAAGCACCCCACCCCTTTCTGTGTCCGAAACGCCTTTCCTTCGTCCCCAGTCCCGGAGCATCCCCGAGCGCGCGGAGCGCGCGGGAGCGCGCAGACCTGGGCCCCTGGGTGAACTACCGTGCGAAGGATGGACAGACGCCCGTGATGGCCGCGAGCCTGGCCGGACATGCGGAGGTGGGGACGATCGCACCAGGTGGACCAGGTCGTGCTCGGTGCCCGGTCTCCATGGTGCCAGTAGACCCAGTTGTTAGGTCGGGGCCCTCTTTCTTGTTCTTGCACCATTGGATGAAGGATGGTGAAGGTGTGCGAAACGCAGCATTGCTCATGGCGCTGCATCAGGTGGTGGAATTGCTCATTCAGAGAGGATGCAACGTCACCATCGGAGACCAGGACCTACTTCCAGCATGTTCAAGTGGCAATGTGCTCTCACACTCCAGTTACCACTCAGGTTCTAGTCCCTTTAGCTTTCCAAACTTTCCAGACCAACCGCTGAAGGCACCCCAAAACCATGTGGTCGGATTCGGTTCCGCTCTTGAGCCTATTTCAAAGCCTTCTGACAAACCGACACCCATCCGTCGGGAGGTTTCATCCGCAGGACGGTTACACGCCATTGGATGCAGCAGCTTCGATGGGACACTTCGAGGCCGGAGTAGTTCCCGGCGTCCACCGCAGGACGCGTCGACGCGTCTTCGCCTTCCCCCGACACTTCGGCCGTCTTAGACGGCGCAGCAGGAGAAAGCAGCGATTTGGGCGCTGCAGGTGGGTGAAAAGTAGACCTCTCCTGACTTCTCTCTGAAGGAACCGAATTCGACCTGCCCAAAATGCAGGGTGAGTTTGACTGACAGATACAACTTCAGAATATATACTGTACTGCAACTTCAGATTTTGTTGATCACATCTGATGCTTTTGATCGCTTCAGGTGGCAGAGGTGCTCATGAAGTACGGCAGGGCAAAGGAACTGTGCCTCGGATAATCGTTGCATTAATACCATGCAGGCACCTAAAGCATCCTGAAGCACTCTCATGGTGCTTTGATGTCGGACACCGGAATCAACTGTGCTGTGTCTCCTGAACAAGTTCGATTTTTGTGAGGAGCAAGTCTGCAAGTCCAGCGGGACTTTTTCTGACGCCTTCCCTTCCCCAGATCTTCACACCGAACGGGATCTCACGAGGCACACCTTTCACGACGACGGCTTTGCCCCGATTCATCGTGCCTGCTGGGGCGATGGTGTCTCGGTCAGAACCGACGCGTTTCGTTCTTCACGTTGGTTCTTCGTGGGTTCCTTGGTAGTTCGACCAAAGGGCATGGTCTCTCCGCCATTGGTAGTTTTTCCGTGGATGGATGTTGAACCGGGTGTCAGGTTTCTGGTTGATTGTGTTGGGTTTGGCCAAGAGAGTCACCAAATCATCGAGAATCACGTCAGATGTGGCGAAAAGCTGGGTTCCAGTTCTTTGGTTGATTCACCTCTTCGCCGTCTTCGCCCGCGACTCACGGAATCCAAGTCTTCATTGCCCCGCACGGAGCGCACGCATCAGGTCGTTCTGTTCAGTTCTCCCAAAGAAGTCCCGTTTCGCTCCGGGTGAGCTGTGTCCAGCAGGCTCCAGGGGCGCGTCGCAACCCAGGTCACGAGCATTTCAAGGTAGTGCACGTCTTGTTGGAGGCCAAGATCGACCCCGAACTGCGTGCGAGAAATGGCACCAGCTGCTTCCAGTGGCTGAGATGCACCGAGGGACGGTCTGAGATGGGCGAAAGAAGAACAAGACTCGTAAGGCGATGAAACTGGTGGAGAGGATGTGAGAGGTGTTTCGTATTCGAAGCGTTCGATGTGGATTGCCAAAGCTGGGCAGATTACACTAGGTTGCTTTGTCTAGACCTGCGGAGCGAAGGGACTATGACATCATGAGATGTGCATCCAAGGCTTGCCAAAGAGAAAGAAACACTGGACACTTGGAGAGCAAGGAGGAGCTCATCATCTACATATCCCTCCAAAGCAGTCTGAAGATCTGTTGCCACCACCAGCCAATCCCGGGGTTCTAACACCTACAATCATAATCCTTTTTGTGAGTTGCAAACCGGATCTCGATCAATTGCAATATTCCCTCAGGTCGGAGAGTGCATGATAGTCCATTTGTCTTTTTTTTTGTCCCCACGTCCGAACGCCCAGGATCTTCTGAGGAAGTACATTGCTCCACGCAACGCCCTCACCGCGTCCGGTGCTGATCCAGCCAAGACTGAGCTTTAAGGTCCAAAAAGATGGGGCAAACAAGACGCAAACGACTGAGACTCCATGAACCGCTGTGAACCGCTGGGAACCGCTGTGAAGCGCTGTGAACCTATGTGCCTGGCTTTTCGGGATGCCTGAAAGCGCTGGACAGCTGCTGCTTGCCTTCCTTCCTCTCCCCAAGTTGTGATGACTTCAGCTTTGAGCGGTCAAACAAACATCAGCATTTGCATGCATTTGCATATTTTGAGCGAGGCACTGTTTACAACATCTATATATCATCTAGCTCGTTGTCGCATGGCATCAGGGTTGGCATCAGGGTTGGCAGCTTCCGGACCTTGGCGCCTGTGGTACTTTTGGCTCTCAGCTTTTCTTTGTCAGGCTTCCATATTCCCATGAATCGTCGAAGAAATCCTCGGTGCACCACTCTCTCTGGAAGTTGATGGTCCATTTGGCCTACTTGGCATTCCTTTGTGGAGCGGCTGCGGTTGAGGTGAATCTCGAGAGCAAGGCGGAGTGTGAACTAAGTTTACGGCGGGTGGTTCGATTAAAGCTTAAAGATTTGGTGGCCTCCAAGCAAGTCTTGCAGAATCTTTCCCGATTCGTCCCCTTGTTCGTTTCTTTACTTCAATCAAGAAGGCGATCAGAGACCATCCCATCACATCCCATCACATCCAGGTGTGGTCTACCACTGCGCCCCCCCGGTCTACCCGCAGGTGCGAGCACGGCAGCCCCTCTTGCGCGAGCACCACGCCCCAGCGATCTCGCCCGGCCACGCCGCGGTCCTCGCGGCGATCTCGCCCAAGGGCGAGGTCCTTGTGGCGGGAAGGACGCCGTGGCAGCGTGGTGATCACCCGGGTGATGTCCTAGCTGTGAGAGACTCCAAAGAACGAGTGAAGAAGGTGCAGAAAGGCACGGGTACTCAAGGTACCCAAGGTGAGAAAGCTGCTTGGAACTCTGGTGGTCATCGCGTGGAACTCTGGCTTGCTGGCTGCCTGAGTGCTTTGGGCTCGTTTGTGACTTTCGTGTGGCTTTACCAAGCCAAGAAGGCATGCCAAGCAGTTGCACCAGAAGAAAGCCTGTCGCCGAGACCGGGTACAGTCACCTCCACCATGCGAATCCTTTGTATCACCAGTTTGTCCATCAGCTATGGCGCCATGATTTCGTCGATGACGATCTTCGTCCTGCCCAAAGAAGCTGACTCTTGCCAGATCCGGGATCGAATTGTTCAGTGGAATCGCATTTTTGAAGACGGAAACGCATTCACGCATTCTAGAATTTGTTTGGGTTGAGTTGTGGGTGTTGATTGAGAAGATAATGCCAACCGGACAAGCGCTTGCGGATTTGTTTGAGGGCAACATGCATAGAAGATCATCAAACTCTTTTGTTTGTTTCCTCGTTTGAGTCGCTGGAGGGACAACGAAATCATTCCACTCATTTGAATCTATTTCCTTGTACCTGATGACATTTGATTCAACCTTCCAGAACAACCTAAACCACACCTTTTGGGTCTGCCGAATAGCTCCACAACACGTCGAGCACACTTCCAGGCTTGAGCAGTTCATCACGACACCTTTTGGGATGATGCGAAAGCAAGAGATGGCTCAATGTAAGACTGAGGAACACGGAAGTTTCCATGTTCTGAAGACTGAACCACCTGTAAGGAGCTGAGAAACAGTTCTCCTTGTGTTTTTCTTTTGTCAGCCACAACAAGGCAGCAAAACACAAGACACATCCAAAAAACACCAGGCCAAAACTCTGGGAAAACAGCAGTGCTGCCAGCAAAGAAAAAGCGAGAAGACAGACTAAGTCGACCCCTTTTTCCACGATCACAACAAAAAGAAACACACACACAACAAATCACACACAAGAAAGGAACCAGGACCAAACACACACACAACAAATCACAGAAACACAAAAAGAGAGGAACCGGTACTACCCGGAACCCGTACACCGGGGCTGCCAGGAACATTTCTACCCGTCTCATGCTTCCATGAGCCTGGGCCTTTTGGAACTCCTGGGCGCCGCGTGTTTGCTCTGTGGCCCGGTGGCGGGCCTGATCTCAGCCACTAGGGCGGCAGAGGCCTCCGGCCACCGGGGGAAGGACGTGCTTAAAGAACTGCCGCCCTCAGGGATGGGGGGGCCAAGAACCAAAGAACCAGACCAGACATACAAATCCAATATGATGGGTGTGTCTTTCTAATCCCAATCAATGGGTTCTAGTCCATTTTCCTTCTTCCAGGGGTCGAACTGGGAGGTCTCCCTATTTGATTTCTTCGGTAAACCCTCTTGCATGTAAGCCACGTGTTAAACACCCAGGAATCGATCGACGTTTTCAGACACGCTCCGAATCTTCGTCGTGCTCCGAATCTTCTTCGTGCGTCGACGACTCGTCGTGGGGCGGGATGCCATGCGAAAGATAGGGGTCCGGAGAGCAGGGCTGGTGAGATTGGGCTCCCGGTCCGGGTGCTGCACCCACGGTTTGACGGGTCCGACAGTGGAGCGATCGGAATCCGTTGGATCTTCGTCCCACTCCGTTGGTGTGAATGTCGGTGTTCATCACCCCCACACCGTGAACTTAGACTAAGTCGACTCATGGTGTCTTCTCTATTGAACCGGCATACTTAGCACATCCATCCTACGGTCCTACTGTGCGGCCGATGACAGGCGTCTTGATTGTTCTGGCACTCGGTTCCGACTCCGAGTCGGCCTGTTCGCGTCACTTAGGACCGCATCAAACATCCAATGGGACGGCGAAGGCCAATGGCCACCTGGACGGCGAAGGGCCAAAGGGGTGACACCTGGGCTTTATCAAGATTAATTCCGTGCTAACTTTAATCTAACTGTCATTTCTGGTCGAGAAGATCTCAGATCTGTATATATTTCGAAAGCTACCCTTTCTCGGTCGAAGCTACCCCGCTTCACCACACCTGCCGTGAAAACGGCACCCTCGGCGGTTTGTCTCACACCTTTGACCTCAACCCTTGACCGACCTCAGCATGTGTGACCTCGCCGCCAGCGACACGGCGGACCGCACAAACAGGTGTCACAAAGGCCGGGCGTACTGTGCCACGACTCTGTGGCGGATGTAGACTCTTGATTCATAAACTGAGACCAGGTGAAGAGGCTTTTCAAGTCAACTGGGGAGGTTTATGAATCAAGATTCTACATTACTGTGCCACTGAGGTCTTGCTTCTCTCGCAGCTGGCAGTGACTGGAACCATTGGATGCTGGCTCTCGTCGACGTACCGTTCGCCTGCCGCGTTTGCCGTCTGTCTCCTAGTCCAGCAGATCGGATGGAATAGCGCCCATGCCGCACACAATGCCCTCCTGTCTGACACCTGGCTGCTACTGTATGGAAGTGCCTGCTAACGATAGAAAAGATGGGAAGGCTATGAAAAGGTTATGGTGCAAAATGAACTGCGTAGTTTACAGCTATGTTTTTTTTTAAGGCTACGCGCTTCCGCTCTGCTGTCAGGATCTAGAATGAATCGATCCTTTTTTTTGCGCAGACTAGTTCCCTCGTTTTCAAATCCATTACATTTGTATTGAAGTAGGACGACCTCCCAGATCGACCCCCTCTTCCAGGTTCGGGAAATAGAGTCCATCCACCTTTTAAGCCAGGGGTGGAGGTCTCCCTATGACACACCCACTGGATTTGTGACGTGTCGCGAAGGGGTTCGAAGGGCGCTCCAAACATCGTCATGCAGAGAGTTGATGCATGCGCACTGAAGCAACATGTCAAGGTCAACTGGCTGAGGCCGCAAGTTGTGGATCACTGCATTGTGCACATCGCAACAGTCCTAAAGATCAAAAATAGAACACTCTTTCCACCTTTCAGATAACCCGATAGCGCACGTACGCAAACACAAACGGCCAACGTTGTCCGACACTCTTGCTTGACACTCTTCAAAGATACTCTTGCGTGATGCTATTTTGGGACACTCTTGTCGGACATTCTTGCGAGACACTTTTCTGGAACACTCTTGTAGGACGCCCTCTTGTGGGACACTCTTGTAGTGCACTCTTGTGGGACATTCTCGAGCACTTCCTCCAGTTTACAATGTTTGCTAACCAAGTGGGCTTGAACAGGAGGGTGACACCAGGAGATTGAGACCAACGAATTGGCACTGAACGGGTTTTGGGCTTTGTTGTACTGCAGGGGGGTTAGTCCAGAGTTTTATGTTTTATGTTTGTGTAATTCTTGGAGGCCGGAAATACTGATTATTGTCGTGTAAAGTTTTCACATTGTCTTGAAGTCAAATTACGCTAGTGTTGCAGATTTTTGACACATAACACAATAAACGAAATTGTGTATTGATTTGGGAGGCCTATAGCTGTAGCACATCCCTCATCCCAAAATAAGTTTTTGAAAATCACATGATTTTGTGAGTTTTGCCGGACTTTTCGGGAACACCGTATGTGTTTTTTCCCGAATGCGTAGCGAAGGGTTCTCGTTTAACTCTTGGGGGTCTGGCGGTAGAGCTTTGTTCGCGACCCGTTGCTTCTATGTTCGCAACCGTTGGCAACCGTCCGCAACCGTTCGCAGTAGAGCGCTAAGGCGCTGCCATTGGGGGAAGCTTTTGCAAGTGACTTTTCATGGATGTGTCACGTGTCAGTTTGCGACGCTATTCCATTGTGATTTGCATGAAAATGACATGTCGCGCAAGAAGCGTGATGCATTTCGCTGCACAGGCGCAGCGTTTTGTGAGATCCTCAGTTTGCTACGCAGTTCCATTGGGATTAGCATTTGGAGAGTCGTGTTTTTGGGGTGTTGGATGTGGCCGTGCCATTGGGATTTGCGTTTCAGGGTGTGGCATCGAAGCTCTGTTTTCGTGACAAGTCTCAGCTGAAATGGCGATTTTGGTGGATGGGAGTGTGCTCAGAACGGATCGAAATCATGCCAAACGTGTGGTGTGGTGCAAATTTTGTTGAAGCTCACATGAGATGATATTGTCACTTTTCGCGGCAGGCGCAGTACTTTGTGCGGGTTTTGAGGCATGGAAGTGTGATTTTCGTGGCAGGCGCAGGGAATCGTGAGGTTGCGAGGTGTGACGGAGGTGACATTGCGTGGCAGGCGCAGTACTTTGTGCGCGTTAGACGTGTGGACGCGGAAAGATGCGTGGCAGGCGCAGGGAATCGTGAGGTTGTGAGTTGTGGTAGAGGTGACTGTCGTTGTCTCATTGGGATTGGCGTGTGAGCGGGTGTTGTTTGGAGGGGCTGGAATCGCGAAACTGCTTGGCAGGGCTGCGTGATGTGTGTGCTCCGATGGGTGTTTCCGCTTGACTTTTGGAGGAAGTCTCGTACGAAACGCTCGTTTTGGAGACTTTGACACTAAAGTTTTTGAGGAAGTCTCGTACGAAACGCTCGTTTTGGAGAGTTGACAGGTGACTTTTGGAGGAAGTCTCGTACGAAACGCTCGTTTTGGAGACTTGACGTGTGACTTTTGGAGGAGGTCTCGTACGAAACGCTCCGTTTTGGAGACTTGACGCGTGACTTTAGGAGGAAGTCTCGTACGAAACGCTCGTCTTGCAGCCTCGAAGCGTGACTTTTGGAGGAAGTCTCGTACGAAACGCTCGCGTGACTGCTTCTAGTGTGTGGGCAGACCGTGTCGCGACACGAGTGTCCCACAAGAGTGTCCCACAAGAGTGTTCCACAAGAGTGTCCCGCAACCGTGTCCCACAAGAGTGTCTCACAAGAGTGTCCCTTAAGAGTGTCCCACAAGAGTGTCCTATAAGAGTGCCCCACAAGAGTGTCCTACAAGAGTGTCCCACAAGAGTTCCTACAAGAGTGTCACACAAGAGTGTCCCACAAGAGTGTCCCACAAGAGTGTCCTACAAGAGTGTCCTACAAGAGTGTCCCACAAGAGTGTCCTGTAAGAGTGACCCACAAGATTGTCCTACAAGAGTGTGTCACAAGACTGTCCCACAAGAATGTCCGACAAGAGTGTCCCATAAGAGTGACCCACAAGAGTGCTTTTGAGAGTGTCCCACAAAGAGTGTCCTACAAGAGTGTCGTGTAAGAGTGACCCACAAGAGTGTCCTACAAGAGTGTCTCGCAAGAGAGTGTCCCATAAGAGTGACACACAAGAGTGCCCCACAAGAGTGTCCCACAAGAGTGTCCCACAAGAGTGCCCCGTAAGAGTGGCCCACAAGAGTGTCCTACAAGAGTGTCCCACAAGAGTGTCCTACAAGAGTGTCCCGCAAGAGTGTCCTACAAGAGTGTCTCAAAACAGTCCCCCCCAAGAGTTTCCTACAAGAGTGTCCTACAAGAGTGTCCCACAAGAGTGTCCCAGAAGAGTGTCCCGCAAGAGTGTCCTACAAGAGTGTCCCGAAACACTGCCCCGCAAGAGTTTCCTACAAGAGTGACCCACAAGAGTGTCCTACAAGATTGTCCCACAAGAGTTTTCCACAACAGTGGCCTATATGAGTGTCCCACAAGAGTGTCCTACAAGAGTGTCCCACAAGAGTTTCCTACAAGAGTGACCCACAAGAGTGTCCTATAAGAGTGCCGCGCAAGAGTGTCTTACAAGAGTGTCCCACAAGAGTTTCCTACAAGAGTGTCCTATAACAGTGTCCCACAAGAGTGTCCCACAAGAGTGTCCCACAAGAGTGTCCCACAAGAGTGTCCTACAAGAGCGTCTCACAAGAGTGTCCTACGAGAGTGTCCCACAAGAGTGTCCTACAAGAGTGTCCCACAAGAGTGTTCCACAAGAGTGTCCTATAAGAGTGTCCCACAAGAGTGTCCTACAAGAGTGTCCTACAAGAGTGTCCCACAATAGTGTCTCACAAGAGTGTCCCACAAGAGTGTCCTACAAGAATGTCCCACAAGAGTGTTCCCACAAGAGTGTCTTCTAAGAGTGTCCTACAAGAGGGTCCCACAATAGTGTCTCACAAGAGTGTCCCATACAGAGTGTCCCACAAGAGTGTCCCGCAAGAGTGTCCCAAATGAGTGTC